GACATCGCCGTTCGACCCGGAGATGAATATGTGAGCTGTCGCCGCAACCCGTGTAGAAGCTCGAGAACACTTGCTGATGTTCCGTCCATTCGAACCAGCGCGGGGGAGATGCGGGGCGCAATGTGTCACTCCGTTTGAGCCGTGGAATGGGACAAAAGCCGGAAAATGTGTATTGCCAAAAGGCCCTGCTGCGAACGTCGAGAGCGCAAAGAGCCGCGCGGCTTCGCAGCAGGTCAATGGAAACGCGAGGGTGCGAACCGCGTCTGCACGGAGTGCGTTGGCAGACATGAGCAAAGCGGCCGTCCGTGGCAATGCTGCGTTTGCAAAAACTGCGCAGCAGCGCGTGTGCTACAGCTGCAGCGAGCGAAAGGACAAAATGGATTTTAGCGCGGCAGCCTGGCCCGCTCGAGAACAGTGCCGGCAAGAGTGCAAGAAGCGCAGTCTGTTGGACACGCGCAAGCTTTCGGACCTTCCAGCCCAAACAGTGCTTTTTGAGGATGGCGCACATCGCGTGTTCAGTAAGAGTTGAAAGACATTGGCCGCAAAATCACAACTCGAGCAGCCAGCGTGCGGACAAGGCAGAAGAAGCGAGTAGTCGCAGCGGAGACGGAAATAAACCAGTGCGCGTCGTGCAAGGTGGCTTGGCGCAACGACCCAAAGAATGGAAGCTCAGTACTTACGTAAAAGAGTACACGATTGATGAAGACGATGACCTTCGCAGGAGCCTCCCCCTCAAAGGTCGGCAGATTTCCTTCAAAACAACCTTCAAAAAGCGCTCGCTATTTGCTGCCGGCCTTTTCTTTCGTCAGGCTCCACAAACTTAACACTTTGTTTCCAGAGCGCCCGCGGTGTAGACAGAAAGAAGCAGCGCCCAGCGTGCAAATTGGCTTGCTTTCACAGTTCCCAAATGGAAACGCAACACCCACGCAAAAGCATACACGCTTGAGGAAGACGATGACCTTCCCATCAGCCCCCCCTTCAAAGGTCGGCAAATTCGACAAAAAGACTAGCAAAAACGCTCTGTTTGCTGTCCGGCGCCTTTTCTCGACCAAATCCCACAAGCTTAAAAACCATCGTTTTGAGGCCCAACGCCAGGCAAGCAGCTAGTAGTTAATGTGATGAACGGCCGACCGCATTTGGTTGGTAGGGTTTGCTTCTGGTTTGCCGTGTTTGCGCAAATCGAGCAGGAGTGTGTTTCATGACGCCACCTGGGTGTTTAATGACGCCACCTGGGTGCTCTGTTTTTCTGATTTAACCAAGATTGAGTTTTCCTTGGCAGCAGTCTTTTAATTTCTGCACGGTTTCCTTAACCACACATGAGGGTTATTGAAAACCCAGCATCGCAACTGCCCAACGCCACAAATGAATCTTAGACACAAAGACCGCTTACAAGTCACCAGCGCGTCCTATCTGTATTTTTTTTTTTGGGGGGGGGGGTGCTTGGTCATTGGCCTGGTCTAAGGGCGGCCAAAAGATAGTAAACTACACAAGCAAGGCAAGCGCCTCGCCCCAGCAACTGGCATCCCCAGCATCACCAACTCGCTCGGATTTGCACCTAGACCCCCACATGCTGAGCGAGTGTGATGCCATGTCCAGTTGTCCTTGGACAGCCCGGCCAAGTACATTTGCAAGCTTTGTTGAACAACCCCTTGCCCCTCGAAACAACCCTTACAGTGTATAAAACCTTACGACCCTTGAGAAATACCAGTCAATTTGCAGGTCGCCTCAGAAACCACCCTAGACAAGGCTTTCTCGCGTGTGAGCAGGTCGAGGGGGCGATGTTTACGTTTCTTGTGCTCCGTGCGGTTTTTGTTTCCATTCGGGCCCGTTCAATGTTGTTCCATGTTTTTGTGTTTACTCCTTCCCGCTATGTCTTCACATGTCTTTCCCGTCCTTGCTACTCCTCTTCATGTATAGCTAGAAGTGAACAAGGCCAACCAAACCGGAAAAGTGCTCGCAAGTTTTCCCGGAAAAGAGTTTGGCACAGCGATTTCTACTCCCTCCCTTTCCATATCCATTCCATGTGAATTCCATGTTCATTGCGCTTCTTACTTTGCATTGAGTTGTTTCCATTGCCTTTTGATTTGCTTGGATTTTCAGATAACTTGCCCATGTGTTTCTACATCCTTTCCCGCCTTTGTCTTTTCATTTCCTTTCAACTTGTGTCCATGTTGTTCCCATGTTGTTTCCTTCCCTTTCCTTTCCTTGCCTCACCGTTGCAACTCCGTCCATGTCCTTTTTATGTACCCTCAAAAACGTCCTAATTGAAGTAGTTTAGCTTGGGAATCATTGGTTTATATTTGTTTTAACTTATTAAAAGTATTCGGACAACCAGCCATGGTTTTCTATTTTGTCGGCTTTTGCAAGTTGATTCGAGGCTTGTTTCCTGGAATGTTGGAGGCAGTTTTTTTGGTAAAAAAATCACAAACGAAGCGGGAGACCCAGTCATTGCTTTTATTGTCCCTGTGTTCTAGCTAGTCAGAAAATATTGCTGGGCAAGCAGCCATGGCTTCTAGTAATATTCGCGAATTAGGAATATTCGCTGGGAAATCAGAGCTGTTTATTTTTTCATTTTTAGAATACATATATACATATATGTATAATCTTTTTCAGAAAAACAGGTCCCAGGAAACAATCCGCCAACGTAGGCAAGAACACCAGTCATGTTTGTATTGTTGTATGTTGTTCTCATGGCTAGTCAAAAAGGACAGCTGGACATTTTGTTATTTATGTTTGTGACTTGTTACTTGTTCTTTCTTCTTAGAAACAATTCGTTGGAAATCAGTCATGGTTGCTACCTTGTTCAACTAGTTAGAACACAAGGGAAAATTGGAAAGTGTCGTGTTTATGGCTACTGGCAGGATCGACCGGGCCCTGGAAAGAAATGGAAAGGTCGTGAGAAGAGAAAGGCGTAGAAGGGAAACGAACAGGACTGGAAACGAAACGGACTGGGAAAGGCCAAGGAAAGGAACTGAAAAAATACAGGAATGGAATACAGTGAAAAGAATTGCGTGGAATGAAAATGTAATTGACATGGAGTGGAAATGGAAATTGAATGGGGGGGAAAGAAACTCGCTGCTACAAAAGCCTGTTTGAGAGGAATGGCAAGAAATCAAGAGACATGCGAAGGCATAGAGGGAAGGAGTAAAGAAAGAAACATGCGGAGTACAAGAAATGAAAGCAAAGGGACCGCCTCCAAATTCTTGACAATCGAAATTGCAAAACCAACGCGCTTTTGGCCCGGGCTGGCCTTTGGCGCTTCCAGCTAGGAATAGAGAGGAGTGCAAATCAACGGAAAGAAATGAAAAGGAAATGGAGACACACTTGAAAAGAAAGTGGAATTGAAATGGAGTGGAACGAAACGAACCTCAACCCGCCCCAAACAAACCCTCAGCAGACCCTAAACTCAGCTGGTGATGTTGGGATCGTTGGAAACGATGCTGGGTGACAAAAAGCGATGCTGGGGATGCTGGCAGTGCGGTTGCCATGTAGACTACGGCTCACTCCTGTTAAGACTTGATCTTGGTTTTAGCACCTTAAGCCACTAAGATTATTTCGAAATTTGAGGCGAATATTTTAAGCCATTAAGAGGTTAACGCGCTAAACCACCAATAATTTCGGATGGTAAGCCACTCAGATTTCCAGAGTTTAGCCCATTAGGGTTTTCAGGTGTCCAGGCAGTAATATTTTAAGATGTTAAGAGTTACGGCTCTATGATTTGATTCCTGTAAGATTTGCGGGCTTTAAGCCGTTGAGCTGTTCAGACTCTACGCCATGACGACTAAATTTCTAAGGCTTGAAGCCAGAAAGATATCAAGCTTGTAAGGCGTTGCTATTTTTAAAGTTTAAGTCATTAAGATGTTAACGCGTTAAGCCACACATATCTTAAGATTGTAATTCATGCAGGCAGAGCTTTAGAGTTTAATCCATGAAGGTGTTGAGGTTTCCAGATGCTAGTATTTTAGGGTTTTAAGCCGTTCAATATTTTATCACGCTGGGCCACTGATATGTTTTAGGTTTTCAGCCGTTCCACTTTTTAGATGTTGGGCCAGCAAGGTGTAAGCAATTAAATGTCTAGCACTTAAAGCCCCCAACGATGAACTATTTTGAGGCCGCTCAGGTGTTTAAAATTTAAGGCATTGAGATTTCAAGGGGTTAGGGCTCTAAGACTTAAGAATTTACCCCATTAAGGTTGTAAGGTTTAGAGCCATTAAGGTTTGAGGATGTCGCGTCAAGCCACACATATTTTTAAGATTGCAAACCTTTCATATTTTCAGAGTTTAACCCATTTGGGCCTTCATGTGTTTGGCCATCAATACTTTTAGATGTTCAGCCGTTAAATTTTCAACACGTTAAGGCACTAAGGCTTTAAGATGTTTAATCGTTACGGGTTCTTGATTGTAAGCCATCAAGATGTTAATAGCTCAAGCCACTACGGTGTTCAGGCTTTAAGCTATTTAGATTCAAGCACGTAAAGCCACTACGATTTTCAAATTTTAAGCCCTTAAGCTTTTTCAACTTCTAAGCATGTCATCCAGATAACGATGTTGTGGAGGAGCTGCTCGGGATGCAAAAGCGGAAAGGGGAATCGAACGCCCGGGCACCACCCCTATGAAAGGGCTTAATCTACAAACAGGGAACGCCTTAGAATCACCACGTGGCACGTGGCCCCCAAGGGGCGGGGCGAGGAAAAGCAGTAAGGAACACGCCGTTTGTTGTCGCGGATTTTCTTAGAAAATGCGGGGGAGTGCGGCGTTTCGGTGCCTGGTGGCAAACTCAACAAAACAAGGTCCTGAATCAAACCTCCGCCCAGTGGCAACTTAAATAAACACCTAGGGCCCGTGCAGAAAGCTGAAGATAGTCGTAAACCCGGCCCGTTGTTAGTGGGCTAACAGCAGGGGGGTTGGCGGACTTTTTGTTGCGAGCTCATAGGGAAGCTACAGATCAGGCGGCGGGTTGCGTAAGTGTGTGCCCCACTCCACCCCTTTTTTGACCGTCAGGCAGCCCACTTCCAGTCGGTTGCTGGGGAGAGGGCCCTGGCATCTGCAGCACGCTGCCGAAGCTGGGAGGTCCAGCGCTGAGCTTTAGGAACGCAAATGGTAAATCGCTTTGTTGCCGACGCGCTGGAAAAGGCCGGGCAAAAGCCGGCTGCATCCAACCCCTTTGATTTTCGGAAAGCATCGCGTGAAAACAACAACCTGAGGCGCGCTGCGCTTGCAATCGTGCTGCTGACGGAGCGATGTTTGCGCTGCTTGTGGTCAGCGCTGCTTAGGTTGCCTCGCGATGCTTCGCGCAGCATCTGTTGTATCGAGCTGCTTTCCAGGGGCTTGCGTTCCGTCGCGCGTGCTGTTTGCGTTGCGGTGGTTGTATGTTGCAGGGTGGCCACGGTTAGGTTCGGTTCGGTTCGGTTTCTGAAACCTTTTGAATACCTTTCTCCGGTTAGTGGTGGTTACTCATAACCTTCCAAAACTTGCCGGTTTGCACGGTTCATGCAGAAAAGTAAGATAAGGCTCTAGGTAACTCAGTCTGCTTTCGCCCACACTTCGCCAACTTCCACATCTCTGGCATCGCCGTCCATCTGACATCGCCATCCCACACCACACACACACAGACACAACCACACACACAGACACAAACAAACAAACAAACAAACTGGCCTTGGGAAGCATCTCTGCAGTCAAAGCTCAACAGCGCAAAAGAACAAGTCATTGACCGCTCATGGGTCACTTTTTTTGCTTGCCAAATTTCAGCGGTGTTTCGTGTGTTGCGAGCACTGCGGAAGCAAAAAGCAGAACCAGAAGCGGCCAATAATGCTGGTTTGTTGCCTTGATGCGTGCAGCAAAGGGGCCTCAGCTGGCTTACACAGCTCTGCAATTGCCCTGCCCTTCAGACATGAACCCCGAAGCAGGACAACCATACAGACTACATTTGCTGCAGGCCCTAGCCAACTCCTGGGGGGACCCAGACATGGCCCTGCTGCCGTTCCTGCAGCACGGGGTACCAACAGGTGCTGTCTCAGCCTTGCCACCCAGCCAACAATGGCCGGCCAAAAAGCCGGACACGGCCGTGCCACCAGATCTAGAGATCTGTGAAGGCAACTGGAAAATGGCCGAGGACGAACCAGAGGCAGTTCAAAGCCTGTTGCGCAATGAAATTGCCAACAACTGGATCGTAGAAACCGGCCTTAGCCTTGCCGAAGCTCGGAAAAAATGGCCTTTAGGTATCGCCGTAGGCAAACTAAATGTGGTCTTTGCAGAAGGAAAAGAGCCTCGCCTTGTCCTGGACAGCACCGTGTGCCAAGTCAACACCAGGTGCCACCTACCAGAGCGCCTTAGCCTGCCAATGGCTTCAGACCTGGCGCTGTCCACGCAACCAGAAGACACTGCAGGTGCGTTTGTGGGGGCAAGCATTGACTTCAAAGCCGCGCACAAACAGGTGCAGGTCCGCCCTGAAGAGCATGGCCTTTTACTGTTTGCTTTTCAGGAAAAACGCTACCATTATAGAGTATGCCATTTCGGAGGCCGTTTCTCGGCATTCTGGTGGCAACGCACTGGCGCGTTTCTACTCCGCCAAGTGCATGGGCTGTTGGCTTGGAAGCCCCACAAAGCCTTCCTTTTCGTGGACGACCTGCTGTGCGCACTCGTCCGAGACAGTGCTTCAGACATGTTCGCCTTAGTGGTGCTGTTCTTCTGCGCAATTGCTGCGCCCATTTCGTGGAAAAAGGCGCAGTTTCAGGACAGCCTCATTTGGTGTGGCTGGGAGATCAACTTCTCCCACGATACCATTCAGCTTGGGTCCGCTAAGCTGATGAAGCTGGACGCCTTGATCAAAGCATTGCTGGGAAGCAAACGAGTACTACGTAAGACACTCGAGCAGTGCATAGGCCTGCTCATTTGGGCCACCAGCATTGCCTTGCATCTCAGATCTTGGCTAGCGCCTCTCTACTCTGATCTCAACAGCCCTCCGGGCTCGATGCACTCGGTACCACCACAACTGTGGTCAGCCTTCAGAGCCTCCTTGAACAAGGGCCTCAAAACCAGCCATAGCCTTCCCAGCCTTTGGGTCGCAGTGGGCTCCAAAATTCTTGAAATTTCAGGCCGCCCCATGCATTGCCCTCAGGACGTCCCGCGTGTGCCAGGCACCAGCAAACCCACGTGGGTACGTGTCTCAGATCCAAATAACCCTTATACTAGCCTTTCCAAGTCGAGCCAGCAATGCCTTACATGGCTAGCTTCGTGCTTCCAGCACTTGCCAGTTCAGCCCTTGGCGCGGCCGCACCAGCTGCAGGCACTGGCAGCCGCAGATGCCTGCGCCGAAGGCGACTTGGTAGGTATAGGTGGCTGGGCAATCACTTCATCACAAGTGGTTTGGTTTGCCGAAACCTGGAACATGCAGGACATACGGGCAGTATGGCCTTGCCTTGTCAAGCCTGGACAGCGCTACATCGCATGTTTCGAAACGCTGGCGCAGTTGGCACTGCTGCAGGCCACCCATAGCCACATTGGTGGTGGGCACTACTCATTCAGCATGCCTTCAGGCACTGATAACTCGGCAACAGAAGCAAGCCTTAACAAGTTGTTCACGACTTCTTGGCCGCTGCAACTCTTCGTGCAGCTCACAGCCTTCTGGGCGCATGCGCACAATGTGTTGCTGCAGCCCACACATGTTCCAGGCAGGAACAATGATTGGGCAGACGACCTAAGCAGAGGTCGGCTAGCCCGATTCAGCCATCGCCCAGAGAGTCGCGTACGCTTCAGCCGCGCAGGCCTTGCGCTGTCAGGCAGAGGCATCCAGCTGTGTCCGATTGATGCGCCCTGGCGCCCGGAACACCTAGCAGCTGCTGCCAGCGGCGTGTAGACAAGCCTTGCTGCCTTCCAACAGGCGTCGCGACCCGACATCGCCCTGGCAACCAGAATATCTGGCTGCATCTGTCAGCAGCTTCACAGCAAGCCGCTTTGGCGAAAATGAGCAGTCCCAGAACAGCAAATGCTCATAAGCATATAAATGCAATGTCGTGCGACATTTGCCCTGCCAGGTACAACCCCACTCTGAAGGGGGGGTGATGAGGCCGGCGGCCCAGCTGGCTCGCTTATACCGGGGTTGCCTGAAACACTGAAGGGGGGGTCAACGCACCTCCTGCTCCAGGCGCATCCGTGCCCTGGAAGCAGTGCTACTTTCAGCAATTCCGGTTAAAAGAACTGCGGCCGCTTCGGACTTGCTTTGTTCTTTTGGGTGGTCTGGTTTGGGTTCAAGATAGGAGCAGTGCAACATGCCTTAACAGACAGGAACAGGGGTGCGAGGTTATTCCTGGATCTCATTGTGCAAGACATGATCTAACCTGTAACTGACAGCAAGGTGGGGCACGTAGCTCGGTCACTCAACATAGATGTTTCTTAAAACGAAAACATAAGCTCGTGCCTGAGCGCAAGGGCGGACGGCAAGCAACCTCCTCTAGATTTGTGCCACCTGGGAAAAAAGTGCATTCACACCTGTGCCCGAAACATCCGGCTCAGGGGCAACTTCAAAACTGTGTCGCGCCATTGGCCCAAACCATCCAGCTGCCCACGGGACCCGTGCGAGCTGGAACTCGCCACGCGCAGGCTCCCGTAGGAGCGAGAAAACCCTACATACGGGAGCGTGCGCTGCCAAAAAAGGCTTAGCGGCTGCACTCACACGCAGTCGCGGGACATGGGGCTGGCATGGAAACGACGACGGCGCTCAGAAGATGGACTGGTGAAGCACCAGGGAGCATCCTGATCTGCGTTGCTAATTGGGGAGGTGAAAGACACGTCAGGGAACGCAGGCGCGGCAGCAGCACATATGCCAGGCAATCGGTACGGTTTTGATTAGATTATTGCGCTGCGCAACTGAATAGTGTAAGCAGTGGCTTGCAAGCGGTGCGCTGGCAGCGCGCGTGGCTGCAACGGGATCGCCGCCGAGGCAGTTCACTTCCTAACCCTTGTGGACGTAGAGCTGGAATCTTGGTCAGGGTTGCTTGGCAAAACGCAGTCAGACCGATCTCGAATCGTTTGTATTGCTTTGGAGCGCTTGGCTTTTGTTGATTGGCAAGGCCCTCAGTGCATTTGCAGCTCAGTTTGACACTTTGTCAAGGTACACGCGCACATGCTGGATGGTGTTCCTGAATTCCAGTGCAGCAAAGACCTTGTTCGAAACAAACAAAGCACTCAAGTGGCTCGCAACGCATTGCAAGAAACCACGGCGGAATTCGGATCAGTGACGTTTGTTCTTCCTAGGCACATTGCTTTGCTTGCAGCTGCGCGGACGAAAAACACCTTCATAATGCACATACTGCAGAGGGCTGGCCTGGACATGTCCTCGGAACCTTGGCATCATCCTGAAGCCAACCACAAACCAACCGTATCTAGATATGTTTCAGGATGGCCATGGCACGTGGCAAGGTCCATGACCTGACTGTGCTGCATTCAGTTGAGGAGCGCTCGCGGCTCACGTTATGGGCAAGCACACTTTGTGGGCAGCGCAAAAATCTGGGGCACTGTGTCAGACCACCAGGCGAGGGTTGAGACGATTGCCCTTAGTCTTGAAGGCATTGTTCAGCGAGGGTATTTGCGTAACAAAGGCGAAGGAGCCTGAAGAATTCGCGAGCCACGAGCGCTTGTGAACATCAAATGTTGCCTTACGCAACCACCAGGCTTCAGCCGAGATCCCAGGCAATTGGTTTGCTACTTCAGCCGAGATCCCAGGCTCGAAATATCCATCACCTGGCGATGAATTCAGGACTCTGGCTGCTTGAAGCGCATTCGGAGGGATAGGAACATAATGGTTGAAAGAGTGCTTCAAGATACTTTGGTGATAATCCCTTCCCCCAAAATAGTAAAACACGCCCGCCCCCCCCCCCAAATAAAAACATCCATGCCAGCAAAAACTATTTTATTATTAGGGATCCCCTGGTTCTGGAGGGCAGGTTTTGCAGGTGCCTCTTGTTCTTTGTAAGCTTTTTGCAATTGTGATCCCCCTGTTCCGGCCCGGAAAATCGCGTCAAACGTACATGTCCGAGTACGTTTTTTTCGTTGTGGGTTTGGATCACTCAAAGGGACCTTTTGGGAGTGGGAGAGAGGGAGAGAAAGAGAGAGAGAGGTTCTCTCTCGCTCACGGAGCTCCGGCTCGAAAGTCGCAACTTTGTAGTACAGCCGTTGTAAAGGAAACGTGCTCCCGGGTCCCCCTAATGGGGCTGGATTTGCGTACCGTCAGGAAAATACCTACTTTAGAATTGGTTTAGTATTGCCATTGTGAGTTGGGAATTTGGTGTCAGAGGAAACCAGTTTGAAATCTTGCAAACATTGCAGACGAATTCATTTGTCAAGTAGCTGCCAAGGCCTGCAGGACGAAGACAAAGATGGCGATCGCCAAGTCCAAGGTGGTGGAGTGGCTTGGTCCGCTCGGTTCATGTCCGCTCAGCCCAACGAACCCAGCCTTAGCCAAACTCCAAACCGTGAACCAAATGGAATGACCATATTCCACCCTGATCAGAATCCAAATGGAGCTGGATTCAGAAAGTTTCGGATTCTGAAACTGTTGGATTCCGGCGAGCTGCAACTCAAAATATGTGTTTTCTGCACAGGAAAATGCTGAAGGAAGATTCTTCTGATACCAGGCATCCGGAATCAGACAAAATCAGAAGCTGGAATCCAAACAAATCGAAATAGTGGAGCCACAAAAACATATCTGAAATAGAAAACTTTAGCAGCGAGTGCTCCGGCTTGCATGCATCTCAACTCCATATCCAGTGAAACACTAGCCAATGCAGTTTGCTTTTACTTTTTGCCTAAGGGCGGGACGTGAACATGACGCTGCAGCGACACCATCCACGCTGGACACCTGCAAGGGCATTAGTGTTTAGTTTCTCAGTAGCAGTGGGGCCAGAAGTGAATTAGGTTACATGTACACGCCCTTTGAAACATTTGTGTTGGGCCTGCGAAAAAAATGAACATAATTGTTGTTTCTTGAGCAACTTGTTTCAGGAGCCTTTCCACCATCAACTTCGCTTGCAAACTCCAGCCACACATTGTGAGGAGAAGTATCCCGGGCGCTGTGGCACTCAGAAACCCATTGGTTTGTGATCGTTACGTTGAAACAAAAACATGTTGGAGGCCCTGGACACTTTGCATGGTTTCTCGTTTGGCCCGCTGGCCTGCTGGCCTGCTGGCCCGCTGGCCTGAATAATGGAAGTGTGTATCGACGATCGCTAAAGCAGTCTTCCAAGTTGTGGTGCTCCAATTGCATTGCGTGACGTGACACACTGCTGTTTGTTCAGGTGCTCTTCAGTGTCACCCCGCCCAGGACAGAAACTCATTGCGCATGCACGACTGCGAGGTAGCAGAAGCCACTTGTCTGAACATTTGGGGTGCGCCCTGATGTATTAAAGCTGCAGTGAAGCGAGACAACTCGACAGCCGATTGCTGGAGAGCAGTGCTGAGGAATTGGAAGAAATAGCCACGGCATGCGAATACCCAAGTTATCGCACCACTTTTGGACCTGAGAGCGTCAGCTTTCCGCCACAATCCTCCCCCCGCACTTTCCCCTTATGCGACGGGGCTCGAGACTTGCCACAGCCAGCCTTCCGCAAGTCAGTGCCCCAAGTTGGGGTCGCTGGTGTGCCAGATGAGACCACCAGGAGTTGGATGGCTCGTGTGCCATCCCAAGAACTCTACTTTATGTACCTCCTGGGCAACATGAGCGGAAGGCAGCCAACCGAGGATTCGACCCTCCAGGTGCCATCCCAAGAACAAACAGCGGCATTTGCTGGCAATCCAGATACCCATCACAATGCACAACCTCATGCAGCAACAGCAGGCCCACCAGAAGCGACTGTCACTAGGTCACAGCTGCATGAAGATCAAGGTGGCCCCAATGTAGCGCAGGCCGACGCGCCATTGCAACTTGCACCTCAAGTTGCTGAAGCAGTTGAAGCAGCCGATTCAACTGAAGTGGCTGCAGCTTCAGCAATAGCAGGCCCACCAGAAGCGACTGTCACTAGGTCACAGCTGCATGAAGATCTAGGTGGCCCCAATGTAGCACAGGCCGACGCGCCATTGCAACTTGCACCTCAAGCTGCTGAAGCAGTTGAAGCAGCCGATTCAACTGAAGTGGCT